ATCTCTGTTTTTATTTGCGAAAACATATTGTCCTTTTCTCAACCCCCTTGGATCCTGGAGCCAAATATCCTCATTTGGGTATTTGTACACGCCATAGGCGCGAGTGTATAAATTCTTAATTTAATTACTCAAACTTTTGTGCTAACAAGTTTACTTGGCTTTTTTTATGAAAAGAAAAAACCTTTTTGGAACGCACTACTATGAACAACTAGTCGTGAACTTGTCCCGAACTAGACGCAAAGTAGTCTCAAACCAGCCGCAAACTGGCCTGCATCAAAGTTATCCCAAACTAGTCCCGAACTAATGCCGAAATCATACTGAACAAGCCCCGTCCTTTAAGTCTTGAACATCCAGAGGGAGATCCATCTAGAGCTTTTTTTAATTTTAAATAAAACACTTAAAACAGAACTGGACGTCGGAGTCTTTATTATTACACAAAAGAACATTCTCTGACATTTACTTAAAATTTATTCAAATGTTGGCCCGACTACCCTGTAGGTGGGTCCATTGGATGGTTATGTTCTGCCTGCGATCAACATTAGAATGAAACTATTTTTAAAAAGTAAATGCCAGACATTGTTCTTTCGGGTAATAATAAAAATTCCGATATCTGGTTGTGTTTTATTTAAAATTAAACGCCCGCTGTAAGCCTCAAAATAAACGTCTTCGAAGACTTAAAAATATTTACCTCGCTGATAATTACTATGAAAAGCTCCTTATAATATAACACCCAAATTCATAAAAAATAATGAAGATTTTAACTGCTTTACAAATCGAAAATTGTTATGAAAATGTCACTTTATAAAGTTCTTCAAATCAATTTTATATCTTATGAATAAGGCCATAAGTCTTTAAACAAATGTTTATATTTTTTCTTATATTAGCTATATCTGTGTATGTTTGCATTTGCTCTGTTTTCGATAGATTGTTTTACAAACTTGTAATTTTGGCGGCAACTCCACTCGATTTTTGCGAGCTATTTCGGCACGAAGATGGCTGCAAACTTATGGTTTCGTCGTTTTCAAGACTTTTATCCAAAATAGGATAGTCGTTGTTAACGATATATTCCACTTGAATGTTGCCTGCTACTACGCTAGAAAACTCATTGCCATCATTGGATATTCTCGTCCAATTCTTCAATGGCATCAACATCGTCTGGTGGCATGATATTAACATTTATTTTGTCAGCTTCTTCCTAAACGCTCCGACTATCCAATTCTGCCTGTAGCTTCTTACAAGTCAAACACTTTTTTTCTTAACATCTTCTTAACTAGTCAGAATGCAATTTTTTATAAAATATCAACACGTCCGATACTTTGCAATTTCGTTTGCTTTCACTTCGCAAAACTTCTTATTTTTGATGCCATTGATAAAAAATTGCACGTACACTCGGAACATAATAGCCTATTGGGTACTTAAATACCCATAGCAGATCTCTGGCATGCCGAATGTTACAAACCTGAAATTTTGTAAAGCAACTTCTTTGGCCTTTATATGGATAAGTGACATACTGTCACGTAAGCCTCTATTGAGGGATTCACAACAGTGTCGTAAGTGTCATATTGTTGTATGTCGTAAACGTTAAAAGCCTAAATAAATGTTCAGAAAACTTGAAAACCCCACCAACTATTTTTTAACACTGCGAAAATTCATAATATGACTTTGATGGTATTTGCGAAACCCCTCAAAGTGATTTTTGGGCGTTAAAAGTTTACGACACTTACAACACCGTTGTGAATACCCCATATATGTAACTTCACTTACAGTCAGCTAAGCGGCCCGAAATTTCGCACAGAAAACCCCTTATGAGAAAACTTCTTTTGATTTTTAAATTCACCTTCTATTTAATAATACTCCTTTTACATCTCATCTATATAAAAAAACAAAAAGATTTTTTGTTGGCGAACAACATCGAAGATTGTGAAACTTTATTTCATTTCCAGTTACCTACAGAAGTAGCTTTTCACGACATTTCAAATGTCTTCCATATAAATAATTTTCGTTAAGTTTTATTTAAAACATAGCTCATTCTATAACAAAATTATATAAATCAATGTTGTTAACTTTCTGGAAAATTCGCAAAAAGTCGGCGAATTTCAAAAAATTGTCATCAAAATTTCACTCTTCAATAAATTTTTTTATTAAAATTTAAAAAAAAAAACAAATTTTGTTCATGCATTGCGTGGATCAAAAAGGGTGAAAAAATTATCAAAAATCACGGTAAGTCCTAGCCACTTAAAACTCACACTATATCGGTGTGAAATTGAATGGACCACAAAACTATACAAAAAAAAAATCTAAAAAATCTGATTAAAAATTTTAAATTTTGATGGCCATTTTTTGAAATTCGCATAATTTTTTCGAGTATACAGAAGGCTTGCAACATTGATTTATATGTTTGTTTTATAAAATGAGCAATATTATGAATAAAAGCTAATAAAAGCTATTTACAATGGAATATATTTTGAAATTGTGGAAAAATCAAACAAAGAATACTTCTGTGATTAACTGTACATGAAATTAATTAATTCGGGAAGACATTATTACGGACTACTTTACTTGTTTAACTGATAAAAATACTAATACTAATAATTTGTTGTCTTTTCGCACACTTCTGCTTAAATTTGTAACAATAATAATGGTACACAAGGCCCATAAAATAAAATAAAATATTATGAAGTCCTTTAATTCTCAAACCACTTAACTACAAATTATCGATGCATGTGTCGGCATGTTTATGAAATGAACAAGTAATAAATGCTCTTTGTAATGCATCAAACTTTAACAAATGCAGCAAGCTTAAAGCACTTTTCTTCCTCATATTGCTTCAAAACAAAAAAAAAAACACAAGGAATATTTTAAAAGTTTATAAATAATAACTAACTTTAGAGGGTTCACCAAGAGCACCAGCAGTGAGATCGACCTGAAATTAATGTAAATATTTTTTTCTACTTTTTTTTTTTTGTTCAAAAATGTGTGAATTACTTAAGGAAAGGAGTTAACTGTTGCAAATTTTTATTAGATATTAAACAGACAGGTATAAAATGTGTAGGTTAAAAATATTCGAATCAATTAAGTTGTAGACTAACTGGCTTGGTTGTGATATTTGTGAATGGAGTAGGTTGTGAAGTTACATGTGTGTACAATATTACAAACGTGTGGTGAAAAGTGTAAAAAATTCGTCAAATGCAGTCACTTAGATGGCTAATTTACTGTGAGGCACATATTTGTATATGCACTTAGTTTGATAAGTAATTGAACGGGATTAAGAATGGAATCGACTGAAGATTGTGCATGGTGTGTAGAATGTAGGAAGGAGTGGCGTGAAACCTTACTTATGTAGTTGTTGGACAGCACATAACTAATTCACACGTGCGTTCGCTATTGATTAAGTACTGTGATCAGTCTAAGAAGTAGGAAACAACTCGACTTTGCTATATACTTTTATTTGATTTAAGAATTTGGTTTTGTTTCTTAAATGTATAGTATGTCAAATCAATTTAATATGATGTGGTCCAAATTGCACAGATTAATTGTTTTTTTTTTTGCAATTTTCCAACGGCCATCCCTCCGAACTGAAGAATACCGAAAATAAGGAGACCCGTATTTCTATACCCGAGCGCACTTGTGCACAAGAGTATGGGTGCTTTCCAAAACGTCAAAATACAAAGCATCAGTATCTTTTATATCTAAACCGCACTAGAAGAAAAAGTCTAACTTGCGCAACCTAGTTGAAAACTAGCATCTAACCGTGGTTGCGAACATTTGGCATTACAATCTACTGAGATTTAGAAGTAAAAGAGACTGATGCTTTGTATTTTGACGTTTTGGAAGGCACCCTATTATAACTTTGTTCGCATAACGGTTTTTTGCAACACTCTGAAGGATCGAGATAGTTATGTATATACAAGTAGTGTGTCCAATATGTCTTCATACAAAAACAAATATTTTTAATAAATCAAACAATTTTAAAAAGTTCAAACTAGGGCTGTGCGATTATTCGATTAGTCGAGCAAGTTGGTTAATCGGTTATTCGGTAAATCAATTACTCGAGCAATCAAGATTTTTATTCCTCAAAACGGTGATTAATCGAGTTACTTAAAATATGATTACTCAAAAAAATTGATTTTGCTCGTTAAAAGAGTTTGCTTCTGGAAATGCTTAGCTTAATTTTTACAAAGTGTTTATGAAAAAAATATTTGATTCTAATTTCTGAAAAAAAGAAGTGTCGTATTCAAATTTCCAGGAACTTCTTCTCTTTATATCTATGTAACGTATATTGAAAATTTGATTACTTATTTTACTTATAATGTTGATTAGTCATAAGGCAAATTACTCCAATACTTTAGTTTTTAGTTAATCAAAATCTTGGTTACTCGGGTAACTAACTGAACTATTGAGTAATCATAATTTCCAATTAAGCGAATAATGATGTTATTTAATATGATTAATTTACATTTTTAATAATCAACTAATCTCACAGCCCTAATTCAAGAGTTTGAAAATTAAAATTTGAAGTACAACGTTTCGATTTAAGAGGCATTTACTTTAGTTCCCAAGAACGCTTGAAAATCTATAAAAAAAATCTCCGGAACGTTCTGGAAAAAGAACAAAACGGGAACATAATTCGCAAACGTTCTCTCGAAGACCAAATTGGGAACATAAGACTCAGGAACATTCTGATAGCGAACGGGAACGTTCTCGGCATTGCATTTTGTGTTGGAACGTGTTATCAGTTCCTGGTTTTAGCGAAATAAGTCTGATAAGGAGATGTGGTGATCTCCGAAATATCAGCTATAACTTCTTCCGCTTATACTTTGTTGTCTACTTTGTTGCTTTTTCCCTTTTTGCCTAAAAATAAATCATTCTTTTAAGTATTCTTCAGTTCTGGCAGGTGGTTGAAAGAAAATGGACCATCCTAATATAAATATGTATGTACGGAATGCATATTTGGCTTGATGTTTACAGTTTTAAATTTTTTACTAGAAATACGAGTATGTCTATGATGATTTACTGCTGGAACCATAAACCGATGAATGGCCAATTACTTTTTTCTTATATGAAAACTTGAAGTGAAAAACACATTGCGTTTTAGAAAAATTTAAGTGCACATTTATGTGGAATGTTCCCTTGCATGTATGCATTAGGGGTGCCCATACATATTTAAATGTTTAGCTATACAGAATATTTTTATATTTTATTTTTAATAACAGTTTCGCTTCAAGGGCACCCCTAATCCAATTAATTATGTATGAAAAGCAAAGTTATGAAATTTAAGTATAATTTTACCTAAATATTTAAAAAGTAAAAAAGAAAATACAAATAACATATTTCGTTTATTGTTTCCCACGACATGAATATTCTTTTTTTTGTGTTTTTATGTTTTGTGTATAAATTTATGTATGTAGCTCTATACACTCTATTGTTTAGGTGTCGCGTCTTTAAAAATTACTCACTTTTCCATTTTCTTGTACTTTAGTATCGCGTATGGAGTATGTGTCCGCCAAAAGTGCCTGCAAAGGTTCAGTTTGGAATTCATGCGTTGAATCATCAATCAGTTTGCCATTACAAGAGACATGTAAGTATTTACATATGTACGGTATGTAGACAGACAGAGATAGAAACAGAGATAAAGAAGTTGTGTGTGGCACAATCTTACTGCATATACATACATATATACTAGTCTGTAGTAGTGTGTTCAAAATTATTGATTACAAAAAAGTGTTGTGTGGTTATACGAGTAATTAGAGTGTTCAAAGATGTAAAAAATATATGCAGACAAATTATGACTAAAGCATACTTACATTATTATACGTAATTTATGTAAATAAAATAAAAAATTTGAACTTAAAATAGACCTTTTTGCAGTATTAAACAAGTTAAAAATCAAAAAGTACGCACCAGTTGTGCAGTTATTTTTTGCAACAGTGCACATTTACATACCCAGTGGGAAAAGTGGTAATGCAATACATGCGTGATAAATAATGTAATGTATTTCTTAGGAGTACTAGATTCTATTACTGTCAACTATGTAATCGGAATTCTAATGTATCCAAAAAGTCGTCAAAAATTCATATTAAATNAAAAGTGGTAATGCATTACATGCGTGATAAATAATGTAATGTATTTCTTAGGAGTTCTAGATTCTATTACTGTCAACTATGTAATCGGAATTCTAATGTAAAAAAAAATCGCATTCATTCCTGCATTACTCGTAATGCAAAATTGAATGCCACACTTTTCCTAGGACATCACCGTGGGAAAAACAATGCATTTTCGAATGTAAAATGGGCTGTTTACTGATTATTTTTTCGATCACAATACATTACATTTTCCCACTGGGTAGTTATATTTACAGCAGTTGCACTGTTTTGAAATTAATTTACTTATGTGTCTTTAAATAAATTATTAATACAGCTTAGCTAAATACATGAATTAAATTAAGTAACAATAACAGATTTTTTTNTTTACTGATTATTTTTTCGATCACAATACATTACATTTTCCCACTGGGTAGTTATATTTACAGCAGTTGCACTGTTTTGAAATTAATTTACTTATGTGTATGTGTCTTTAAATAAATTATTAATACAGCTTAGCTAAATACATGAATTAAATTAAGTAACAATAATAGATTTTTTTCTATAGTACGTATAATTTCGAAGTGTTTTTAAGTTGTTTATAAAGATTATAATATTATTTACTAATAGCTAAATATAAAAACTAAAAAAGACTTTAACTGCTTTGTCGAAACTTTGTATGAAAATGTCACTTTATAGAGCTCCTTAAACCTATTCTACTTTTTATGAATAAGGCCATAAGATTTCAACTTTAATTATCGAATTCTAATTATTTCTATGTAAATACTACTTTAAAAATGCTAAGCCATTCTAAAATAATCACATCCTTGATAAACGCGTGCAATTGCTAATGTTCGCGATCACTTAACTCAACAATCGTGGTGAATTTCTTCAGCTCTATAAAATCCAATATCTTCAGAATTTTCTATTTATTTAATTTGCAGTAAATGAAACTACAGTTGCCATTTTGGCCGAAATGTATTCTACCGTTTTTGGTAAATTTTTTTTCCAGTTTGGTACACTGGTAACTTTCAGAATTAGAGCCGGTTGCTCAAAGCCTGGTTGACACTAATCCCGGGTTAAATATCGTTATCGACGTTACCGACACCGTGTTATATGCATGGAGTCGAAAACGTCGATAACGATGTTAACCGAGTCTGAGTAGGTCTTTGCGTGAATGGCTTTAAAATTTCCCTCTTTTGGATGGCACATTGACAGACTAAAACAGGTGGGGCATTAAGCGTGATCGTTAAAACATGTTTTCGTTGCTAAAACTGGTTTTCGGCCTAAAACTTGTGTTTTCGTCCATGTAAAATCTGTCAAACGAAAACCAGTTTTCGTTGAAAACTAATTGAAACCTACGTTCCACTCATTCCAATCGGTATCTTCACTAGTTTTTTTTCGAATATTTATCGGAGTGGAAGTCATATTTTATCATCTTTAATACGCCATTTCGGATTTATTGTTAATTGGTTGGCCAAAGTAAAATAAGAATGAAAGTAAAAGGTTGCATTTTGTTTTGTTTTTGTGTAGCAACCCTAACAGCCGGTGTGAACAGCCTTCAGTCCACAATCCCAAAACTCGTTTTCAAAGTTTTTTCGTTGTCGGTCAGAACATGGTATTAGATAACATTCTTCATGAAGTTCGTTGAAAATGTAAATACATAAAATAATTTTTGTCTGAAATACGGCCATGGATTTATATGTGTATATGTAAGGATTTACAGATCTTTGGGCAATGCGGTTATCGAATTTTAAAATATTTGCTCCAAAAATGATATTTTCAATGGATCTTAAGCAAAAATTAGTTTTTTGTAAAATTTTTTGAAAACTAAGCGTGGTCCGCCCACTTATGTCAAATATTTGACCTCGAAAACTACTTCACCAATCTTTACCAAATTTTATATACACATTGCACCTGACCTTCTTAAATACTGTATCTCTAGAAATTATCGCTGTTTCAAAAATTATCGCTTTTTACTCATAGCCACACCCTGTCAGAAGATGCTCAAGAAGCTATAAATAAGGATTGCAGAAGGTATCGACTACGCAATGCTAGAAAGTGTTCGCCTGTATCTGTATCAGTGATATTGATAGTCAGATTCTCTCATAAAAAGTTTGGAAAATGTAAAAAAAAAACTTTTCAATATTTCCTGGAGAAGTACTCAAGTTACTCATCGCACCATGAATTATATATGTCATAAATTAGGAAAATGAAGAAAACGAAGAAAGTTATGAAGATTCAGAAAATGAGGAAGATGGTGGGTACTATTTTTGAATACTGAGAGTGAACCTTTTAATTGCATTTACATTTTCATCTTTAAATGAGTTCTCCATATATGTAATTTTTATTTAAAATTTAAAACGTATAGTTTTCTAAATCTTTCGAAATTGGTATATACCAAGGCATATCAAACAGCTCCTAGCATTAGAGCAAGAACGACATTGGCATGTATTTTGTTGTTGCTTCTGGTATCGAAAGTGTCAAAAACTGTTCTGATATTTTTCTTCTAAATTAAAGCGCGCCATGTGATACATATACATACAAAGAAAAAAAATAAAAAATTAAAAATTAAAATTGGAAAAAATAAAAGTTGTTTCCAATTTTCCTTTCTTAGTAAATTTGTTTGCTTCTCGAAGCATTGATCGATCCTTGCAAGGCCCAGTAATCAGCGGTTTTGCTGCTGAATTGGGCGAGCGTTCCAAAAGCTGCTATTCATTCGCCTGTTTTGTATGGGAAAAGGTTTCACATGGAAATAGATTTTAAAAATTTAGAACTTTTGTGAGAAGAAATTCAAATTATTTGACATTTTCGAAACCAAGTTATTTGAAAAAAATCAAAATCAGCTGCTCACTGATACTACCTATTCAATGTGCCATGGTATATACATATTTATGAATTAAAACCGCTACTTTTCAAACTAAACTTTTGTTTTTTTTTATTTTTGAGAGAAAGTGTTAATGAAACAAAAAGTTCTTTTGATTTGAAAACCAAAAAAAAATTGTGTTTCTTTATGCATAAGATATTTTAAAATATATAATAAAAATATCCTTTAAATAAAATATTCTTTCTGCCTTATAGCTCTAGTATTTTAAAACGTTTACCGCGAATCATAAAAATACTCTTTTTCAACACTTTTTGGGTCAACGGGGTATTTCCGACCCCGGTCCTAGAACATTTTTTTTTTCAGTTTCGACCTCATCTATCTAAAAAACTAATAAAATAATTATGTCTAGCTAGCTTCTTCTAGTCGCCGCATCATCAATAAAGTGACGGTTCAACTCGTCGACGATGACGATGACGATATTCAACATAGGACCGTATGTCTACTCTTCCTCGCTCAATTTTTTTCATCCACCCTCAAAGGCAAAAAAAAGCTCTTCTATAGTTCGAGGGTTGTTAAAAAAAGTACTGAATCTTTTGACAAAGAAATTTTTTATTTTTTTCAATTTTGTATGCCAGATTCACGCAGCATACGACATGCGGCAAAAGAGACAATGAAAAACTATTCTGAGTAGCTTTTCAATAGTTCTAGAGATCCTGAAAAGAAAAATTAAAGTTCTGAAACGCGAAAAAAATTTTTCCCAAGAAAGTCGAAAAACACTCCTCTGTGCATCGCCTGATATATCAAAAAAATTACATAGCCTGTTGTGTAGTAAGCATTTTGAATATATTTTTCATCTACTTGTGCACTAACATTGCACAGTTGTGCTAAGTCATTCTTAAATAAAACAATGTATTATAACTAATCTAATGTTTTCTTATGCTATCGGTTTTTTTTTCGGGTGTATGTCGGTGTTCAAGTGAATTACAAAACAATATAACAGAATGATAAGAATGAAAAGAAAAAAATGTGTTCTGCATGTTTTCACACAATCGATTATTCTTTTTGTGGTAATTTTACTGTGCATGTGTCGTGGTATTAAGACTTAAATATTTGGTCTGTATTTTTAAGCTTATATGTACAAGTGGCAGAAAGGCTCTTACGCACGCACACACCCACACAGACACACGCTTTCGATACATACATATGTATTGTTTACACTTACATGTGTTGAATGAGATGTTAAACTATTATACGACGGTGATGTCTTTTCGATTGTTATAAGTTTGCACTTAAGTATGTAAGTATGTACCAGCAAAAAGACAGAGAGAAAGCGAGGAAGATAGAGCATTAAAGACAACGTATTAAAAAAAAAAAAGATTATGTTTTGTTACAATAAGAAGAGATTTTAGTGAGTTTACATTAATAAGTATTAATTAGATCACAGGAAATGCTATAATAGTTGAATATTTATTAAACTCTTTCCGAGCACATGTATGGCGATCACACTTCATTAAAGCGATGCCACTTTTCTTGTCATAAAAACATTTAAAGCATTAATTAATAATAATCTATAGTAGAAATATACAATACCAAGAAACCAAGAGTACGCTGCAAAACCGTCTAAATGAAAACTTTAATGAAGCAATAATAATTGTTACCAATTGTTTTAACAGATGCTTGCTACATACACGCATTGTATAAATGATATGTTTTTACACATTTTTGTACAATGCCTTATTTTAAAGGTGCTGTAGGTGTTTTTTATTCATTCTGGCGACACCAAGTAAATCGAAGATCTATAAATTAAGACATTTCTAATTGAAACTTGTTGATATTTGCGATTAAATTTTTAAGAGAAAAAAGCTTCTAATTATACTGGTTACTTATTCAAGCGGGGAATGAGGAACTCAGGTATTTAATCGTATGTTGTCATATAAAAAACCAAATGCGGTGTTTAGATGAGGCGATTCTATATGCATCTTTTAGTTGAAAGCAACAATCGCCTGGTGTGAACAGCCTTTCAACTAATCGCTTCCAATGAAGTTGGGGCAGCCCACTTTTGATTTGCCTGTAAAATAGCTTCATGTAAACACCGTGTAATACACCGTGCGACGAAAAAAACAATTTACTCACGAAACTAGGGGCCTAATGTAGTAAAACTCCCATATCAGTTCTTCGCTCCGACGTCAGGATTTCTTGTAAAAGGACTTTGAGATTTCCAAGATGTGAATAATTCGAAAAAATATTTTAAAAAATTCAGTGCAAAATGAAAAAAAAAATTAAGATTAAAAAAAATCCGTTCGCAAGGAAGAATAGTTATTGAAAATGGTCTTTTAATTATTATTTTTTAACCTAATAAAGTTAAAAGGACGAAATTCGACGATATAGACTTGTAATTATAATATATATAATAATTTTTTGAAAAATAAATTTTCAAGGACATTCAAGGGTAAAATTTTGATAGGTAATTTTCCGCACTTTTTGGTCCTTATGCACAAAAAAAATATTATTTCTCAATTCGACATAATTTTCTCTTTAAATTTGACACCTATATTGTCATTCTACATTGTACTGAATTGTTTAAATAGTTTTTTTTTTGAAACAATCATATTTTTCATAGTCCTTTACAAAATCCTCACATTAGAGGGAAAAACTAAAAACTCTGTTATAGTATATTTGGCCCCTGGCTTTGCGCAACCCTCTTCTATGAGCTCATCGAGAGCGCCTACGAAGACTGACACCATCGCGATATAAAGGTCGTGATAAGCGATGGCAAAGGTAGGGTAGGCAAAATAGGGGTATCCACGACGAAACATAACACGATAACACAGTGGCAGGCTGATCTACTTCATCGGGTCCGAACGTGGACCAACTCATAAACCATGCACATAAACGAAAAGTTATCATATGCAAGCAGGACCGCATCTCCCAATCGCTGCGTATCGCTGCCGAAGGAGTAGTCGAATGCCAGCGCTCAACGGCTGCAGTGAAAAAATATACCGCCTACAAGGCAACGCTGCGATCTGACGCAACGCGAGCTAAATATGTATGTGGGATTGATATAGAGAGCTGAAGAGCGGCTAAATATTTGAGTGTGGAGATTTTCCGATAGTTCTATCAAAATGTGAGGCGTCTTATCAAAGGTTGAAAAGCCGATTCAAAACACTTTTCCATTCTGCTAAATGCCACTGAAACCAATATGGAAGTCGAGGAAGACAGAATCGATGTATCACCACCCGGCTATGCCGAGGTAACAATAGTAATTTCTCGGCTGGAAAACAACAAACCTGCAGGAGTTGACGGCCTGCCAGCCGAGCTATTCAAGTACGGCGGAGAGGAGCTGATAAGGTGCATGCATAAACTCGCATGCAGAATATGGTCAGGTGAACGCATGCCCGACGACTGGAATTTAAGTGTGCTCTGTCAAATCCACAAGAAAGGCAACCCCGCTATACGCGCCAACTAACGCGGGACGATTGTGTTAAATATAGAAGCTCAAAATCAACAAATTTATTGGGCATCAGTGTGGCTTTAGACCTAGCAAATCCACCATAGACCAGGTATCCACAATACGCTAAATCTTAGAAAAGACCCGCGAGAAAAAGAGTTGCCTATTTGGTATCCACGCGAAACTGATACGGATGTGTAAAATTACGTTTAGCCTTTGCTACCAAACGGGGTTTAAGACAGGGAAACACCGTTTCATACGATTTCTTTAATCTGATGTTGGAGACGAAAACAAGCGCTGTAGAACTGAACAGCTCAGTCACAATAACTTCACAAGAGCGATCGATAGGAACCGCGAAGTCTGTTCTGCCTTTTCCCAAGATAGATAATAAATCACAGCGATTGGGTCTGGTGGTCAACGAAGACAATACCAAGTATCTCCTGTCATCAAACAAACAATCAGAGGTAGAGAATTTCGTCTACTTGGGTACCAGCACCGATAATAATGTCACTGTCGAAAACGCAGAATCGCTGTTGCCAGCAAGTGCTACTTTCGACTGGGTGGGCAATTTCAGAAGTAAAGGCCTCTCTCGACGTACGAAAGCCACACTCCATAAGTCACTCCTCATGCCTATGTTGGAATATGGCGCAAAGGCATGGTCAATGACAACATCGGGTGAGGCGGATCTTGGAGTATTCAAGAGAAAGATCTTGCAGAAGATTTACGGGCCTTTACGCGTTGGCGACGGCGACTAGCGCAGACGATAGAACGATGATCTGTATGAACTTTACAACAACATACAGTGACATAGTGCAGCTAATTAAAATACAGCGGCTCCGCTGGCTTTACCATGTCGTTCGAATGGACACCGATGCTCCAGCACTGAAAGTATTCAACCCGGAACCCGATGGTGATAGCAGAGCATATGGAGAGACCAAGAGTCGTTGCATAAAAAATTTACTACGCGTCTAAAGCTAAACGACCGTGCAGATTGCTTAACGGAAAAAGCTCCCACGTAACGTGAAAAAAACTAAGATTTTGGGTAGAAAATTTGTATTTTAAGTTTACTGTATGGCTGCTAAAAAGACACAAGATAGAAAAAAAAATTGATAGAAGTGCCTAAAAGAATGATTTATCAAGTATTCGTAAATATAAAGTACATACAACAAAACCAAGCAATTACTTGTCTTTGTCGTGTCACGGGAGTGCTGTGTTACGATAAAGTTATAAAATAAAAAGATTATACGATTTACTTAAAAAAATATAAATATATATACATATCTATGTATATATATTGAATATAGAGCTTTAGGCACTGAAATACACACACGCTCTCCTACAAGCTTTCAAAGCCATCGTGTGGCAATATCAATGGGACGACCAGTTACCAGAAACACTATCTGTTTAGGCGCGACTGCTAACACCGGGCGCCTAAATGCCTGCTATGTACGGCTGCATGTGCAGAAATTTCCTTTATGCAATTTATGAAATTTCTGCACGTGCACTTCTCAACTGCCATGTAATTGAACTTACTTACATATTAATAAGATGGCAATTCAAAGTATGCTCGGCCTAGTCTGATGCATCCTACGCAGACTGTAGTAGACTTTACCATTGGCCACAGTGCCTACCCACTTTTTCGCACTAGTAAATGTTTTTTTTTTTTTTTTTATATAAATACATGCAAACATACTGGTCTTCCCTCTAACTCAGTTATTCACTATCAATCGAACTAAAATCGGTATTTTTTAAAGCGAAAACTTTTTACTTAAAATTATTTAAATATACAACAATAAAAACCCAACAAAATAATTAACATTTTAGCAACCAATTCAAAAATATATTTACAAAATATAAATACCATTTAGCAGCCAATTAGCACAAAATACAAACAAAAGGAAAGTCAAAGTAATGAGCAGCAGAACCATACCATAATTTTAACATCTTAAGCAGCATATTACTGTATTTCAGTACTGTTAGTAATTTTGGAGTTTTGGCAATATTAATATAAGTATTTTTAATGTGAATATGTTATCGAATATGATTATGAATATATAATGGAAAAGGAAAATATCTTACATATATGTATGTGATAATAAAAGGTATATATAATAATAGGAAAACAGGGCAATGAAACGCTGACACTGATTACTACATACAAATGTATGTAGCCCATTAGAGTGGCTCGCGAAAAAAAAGTTTGCAATATAAAAAAAAACAAAATCATTTTCGTTCATTTTTATGTAAAATGTACCTCAAAACCATACAAATCAATGATGCAAACTTTCTACGAAACTCGCAAAAATTTAGCGAATTTAAAAAAAAATACTACCGAAATTTCAAAGTTTTTAGTCAGATTTTTTTAAGAATTATAACTAGTAATTTTTGAGCTAAAAACTAAGCCGAGTTCAGTTCTCCTAAAAAAATTTAATGGTTAATTTCTTCATCATCCAATGATCGGATCTGGACCAAATTAGTATGGGCCCATCTGTTTTATTACAGAAATCGGTTAATGTGGTCCTCCTCCGTTTTTTGAATTCGGTTAAAAATAAACTTTTTTCATGCGTGATTTGGAAGAGAACCGCCAATATCGCCAGCAAAAAACAGTCAAAAGTCAAGGCACTTAAAACTTTCACTTTTGCCATTTTACGAATTCCGTTGAAAATATGTAATATTGATTTATATGGTTTTTGTTATTAAATGGGCTATATATTAAATACAAATTTGCGAAAAAGTTAATGGAACAGATTTTGAGTATCGAGAAGAAACTAAACCACGAATACTTCTGTGAGTGACATACAGTCAGCGTGAAAAATATGCACACCCTGCAGTTTTGACGATTTTATTTATTTATATTTTCCATACCAAATTTTTCTTATATTTATATAAAAATATGGTTCATTAAACAGCAAAAACCGCAAGAAATTTTCATTGTAATTGATAATTTCTCAATTCGATTTCTTACAAAAAATTTTAGTATGCAGTTTAAATTTTAATGAGAATGTCAAGTGGCTAATAATTACCATTGATTTTTGAGATTTTTTCGCTGGGGGAGTTGTGTACCTTCTTTCATATAAAATAAGATCGTTTTTATGGTTATAGGGCGGTGTGCAGCGCTCAAGAAAAATCACAAGAAATATTTTCCATTATATATTATATTTTCTTAAAAAAATAAATATACAAACATACTTTTCTTGAAAGCTGCAAACTGATTTAGGGAATTGTGATGGTGTTATATGAATTTTTCGTTTTTCTTGACAGCTGCAAACAGCCCTTATATGAAAGAAATGCGTTAAGTAATGGTTATAAGAAAAACTTCCTTGAAACTTGGACTTTATTACACTAAAATTTTATGAGCTACCCTAAATTTTTAATTTTTTGGTATTTTATGCATTTTCTCCGAGTTCGATTAAGAAAATTGATTCTTGTGAGTTTTGCTGTTGAATAAACCATATTTTTATAAAAAAAATTGGTGTGCAAAATATAAACAAATAAAATTATCAAAACGTGAGGGTATCCATATTTTTGACGCTGACTGTATCTGCATGAGCATAAAAAAAAAAAATAGATATGCATTCATATGTATGTACATTCGAACATATTCACAAGAAGATTTATTAATCTATATTTGCACAGCAGACAAAGGATTAGAGTACTAGACATAAAAAAGAAAAAGTATATTCAAACGATGGTTAATACATACAAAAGGTTACACAGATTGGTTAAAAAAAGTTTAGAAAAATTTAAATACGAATTTGATGCGTATGCTAGTATGAGAAACAATAGATTAGCAGTTAGGAGTAGAGATAGGACGAGAATTACAACAAAAATATTTGGAAAATGGAAAAAATAAATTTAGTCACATTCCAATGTGTGTAGATGATGTAGATATATGGCACCAGCAACCAATCGCGGTAAATATACACATGTATGCTACATACAAATGTATATGAAAAAACATTATAGAGAAAAGTTTTGTATGCATTCAATTCGAATTATCACACATACACACATACTATCTATAATAGAAAATTTAAAAGTTTTAGTTTAACTATTTTCGTAATTCACACTACAACACAGTTAACTTCTATTCGGACATGTTTACACGGGTTTTAATAGAATTTAAGGGAATAACAAGAGTTTTTGTTTTGTCAGAATTTACTACCTTGTCTTGATTATTGTTACTGCTTATCCTACACTTGAAGGAAATTGATCTTTTCGCTTTTGTTAGCGCATTCTAGGGAATGTGTCGCAGTAGTAGTAATAATAGTAGTAGAAGTAGTAGTAGAAGTGGTAGTGGTAGTAGTAGATGTTATTTTTATTTTATTTTCATTTTTTTTTTTTCAAGTAGTCGTTATAGTAGGAGCGGTTTAAACAGCAACGCAGCAGCAGAACAAATACAGTAAGGGTTGTAAAAATGTAGTTCAAAATATTATAGTAAATCATAAATTTTGTTTTCTAAATTTAGAAATATCGAAATAAAATTTACTTAAATACAGTTATGAAATGAATAAGTGTTCATAAAAATTAAATCGGTATACTAAATTAAGTACCAACTTTTTACATTTTTTAACAGCAGTTTAAAGCAAAAATTTGAAGTGAATATTTAATTTATTTTGGCGACGAAATTTACTAAAATTACGCAAATCTCATTTCATCACTTTGATTACTTTCAACGTAGATAATATGTACAAACAACAATGAAGAGATAGCATTTTTTTCAACTAATCGCAAGTTCAGTGGAAAATTGAACAGTTTAAAAACAAATTTTTAAGACTTATTTTAAAATGTTTAACAAAGGAACATTACTTATTACGAGTATTATGGAAAAAATTATCTAATTATTAAATAACAAACAAATAATGTACGTCCATATAATGGAATCGTACTCTAGTACATACCTCAGCATCGGGCTGCGAACGATCCGAATCGTCGTTGTCCAAATTTTGATTCTCCAAGTGCTCTTCTTCGGTTTGTGGCATTTGTTGTAGCTCTTCTTTGGATTTGAAATCCAAATGTCTGATATAAACGGGTATCAAAAGACCTAAGATAACCTAGAAGTAAAAAAATAAATAAATCATACACATAAATTCACATTAGGAAAAAATCAAGAGATTTCGTCATTTAAGGACCACCCTAATGTACATATGCTCAAGTGCTTTCTGACCAAATAGCTTTCATCATGAAAGTCAGCAAGGGAGCTTTTTGTGTAAGACTTTCGTGCCAGAAAAAACAAAATCATTCAACACATCCTGATCATTAGCCTTCTTCATAACTTTCGTGATTGGTTGCAGGCGTTTTTTCAATTAGAGTAGTGGTTACCGTACAAAATCACTTGCCATCGCACATGTCAACGCTTCTAAAGTCCAAGTGCAGCCCCTACGGGGGTTAGACTCCCACAACTTAAGCTACCTTAAACTCTCTATCTAAGTTCATATTTTAACAATTCAAAGTAAGAACAAGTCATTTTTAAGCAAAAAAACAAAACCGACTTCAAACCTCATATAAAAATTCAAGAGTACCGTCAATTGCTTTATGACCAAATTAGTATGAGGGGACAAAAATAATAGAAATCGGTTAACGTGGTCCGAAGTTATGCGGTAACATAAAAAAAAAATAAAAAAAATAAAAAAAATATTCTGACGATTTGATAACCTCCTCCTCTTTATGAAGTCGATAACAAGGTTGAGCTTTTAACTTACCTTAAAATTTGTATTTTTACGCGTTCGCAAACCGCCCATCCACAAGTCGGCCAATATCACTTGACTGCTCGGATGTGCCAGAAGTGCACGATGATTGGCGGCCACCGCCAGGGAAAGGCAACTTTGGTTCGACCATGAGTGCAGTTCACATGTCAACAGTCGTTGAGCCTTCTCCCCATCTGTACGATAGCTGAAATCTAGTAACTTGATGCCTGCAAACGAATAGAACAGTTAAAGTGATTGAAAGCTTTGGGGAGGAAAAGAAATGACAGAAAGCCATTCTAAAAGAAGTAATGGCCAATTCATAGCGAATACAATGACTGAAAGCATACTGAAAGGAAGCCACCTAATAGGTAATAAATTCAAGCGGCTTGCACTTGAATTGGCTTACTTTGTGGTTACTAGAAATGGCAATTCACTACCTGTTTTCATACTAAGCGCTTTCTAGTAACTAAGTGCTTCCTCTAACAAATATGCACTTAGACATGGCAAGAGGATGCTCAACCAATAGACACTTGCGATCAGCTTTAAATGAATCACACAAACACACATACACATGTAACCTTTTACCAACCTTTGCTTTCGAATTCCTTTGCATATGCGCGCAATTCATCATAGATTTCCGTATCTAAATCATCCTCGGCCGCCTCGTGCGCCATTGCCTTGTACAGCTTGCAGGCCACCAAGGATTTTGCTAGCGCCTCCTCACCGTGCGTCCACATAAGCAACGCCATTTGTTGGCGTTTCGTTAGCACTGCCCAAATCTAGAAGTAGAAAAAACGCTTAACTTTTAAAAGCGTGCTAATAATATTTGTGAGGAAAAAACTCTCCTCAAAGCTGTAAGGGCAAACGACTTGAGTGCGGCGGTAATGGCTGCAGCAACTTACCAACCCAACTACTTTGAAAAGAATTATTTCAACATCTAATTTATTTATTACCGCTAGAGAAATTGTGGAATTCCATGCGCTTGAGCCATTTACACCCTTGCACCCATTTCTGCATAAATACTTACAGTCAGCGTCAAAAGTATGAATACCCTGACGTTTTGACGGTTTTATTTATTTATATTTTCATAATTTCATACCAAATTTGTCTTGTTTTCTATAAGAATAAAGTTCATTCAGCAACAAAAACCAGCAGAATAATTTTTTATTTTTTTTTTAATTTCATAACGAACTCGGAAATTTCAAGAAATACCAAAACATTTTCCTCAAAATTTTCAACTTTTCAATTCGATTTCTTAGAAAAATTGACACTTTGTAGCGCATTACATTTTAGTATAATAGGGTACAAGTCCCAAGTCAAGCCAAAAATTACCGTTGATTTTAGATATTTTTTTCCGAGGGTGTTGCGCATTTTCTTCCATATAAAAAAATATTTTGTTCATCTGATGTATGGAAGCAAATGCGCAACACCCTTGACAACAAAAATAAAATTCTCAAAACTACACGGTACAAAATTGCGTGCTCAAAATTTTTCTAAAAATCGAATTTTCCCGAGTTCTATATGAAAAAAAAATAATGATTCTGCTGGTTTTTGCTATTGAATGAACTGTATTAAAAAAGAAGATAAGAAAAATTGTGTATGGAAACCATACACAAAAAACCCCTCATAACGTCGGGCTATTCATAATTTTGACGCTGACTGTATATATGCAGCTACATAACTATTTACTTACCAACAACTCATTGAAAGGAAATTCAAAAAGTGCCATTTCCGTTGTGAATGGCAGCAATCCGGTAACCAAACTCAAGGAATTCGCGCCAGCATAACGTTGATATGTTGAAGATTTTCGGTGTGCATTGGCATAACTATTCATAACTTTGGCGTAAATCGGACGAAATTTTCGGCGTGTATAATAGGAGCTGCATGAACGGTGAGCGAAATGTTGACAAATGCGGAGGCAATTGGTGGTGGGGAATGTGAAGGAATTCCGAACCGAATTTCACGGCATACAAGCACATATAAAAAAAAGGAGAGAAGAAGAAGATTAGATTAAATTTTGAGTGAAAATTGATAAGAACGAGTTACTGATATTTGAAACAGTCTGTGACTATACTTGTCTTCTTTTCGAAGATTTTGGTATACATAATGGGCCGTATGCATAAAACCTAAGCAAATCCTTTTTCCTAAAATTTTAGAACGTTCACCTAATTTGTACAAATAAATTTAAGTGAAAAGTATGCAATTTAAGAAAAAGCAATTATTTAGTTTTTAGGCATACGGCACAATGTCTACTTCTACCTATTATATAAGGGTGGTCCTTAAAAATATAAACATCATTGGGCACTGGCTTATTTTGTTCTACATATAAAATAAAAACATCCAACAAATAAAAGCAAATTAAAAAAATTTTTGGCGTCGCCGATTTTTTTATAGCAAAAATTTGGACTGATCTAGCGAGTTTATGAATTTATATGGATTTGTTTCAATACGTTTCAATATAGCTGTTCAAAGTAACAATTTAATTTTTTCAATCATATTTTTTTAATTTCGTTTAAAATTTAGAAATTTGCATGAATGCCTTTATATTTTACGTGAGTGCCCATACAAAATTTTGATGTTGATATTTTTCACGACCACCCTAACGACTATATGAGCCATTCTTTTTTAAGTCGGACGGATTTCGTAAAAAAAATAGGTCATGACACCGATTCGCTTTAAAGTTTTTGTATGGGTTCTACAAACAGTTGTTCGAGGAATTTTTTTTTTAAATTTCTTTCTTCGGAGATATGATCTGTCAAAGTTAGCATATTTTCATGATTCTGGCTAATCATGTACTTCTTCAAATCGTTATATTATATAATATTTTTTTTAATTTTTTTCTGAGTTGACATATTTTCAAAAACCATTTTTTATCAAAAAATGCGTATGTGAAAAATGTTTCAAGAAAAAAATTTATATTTGTTTTCATATTGAATTTTGATGTGTGTATATGTGTATGTGTGATTTTTTTTTCTCGTCCCGTTCTCGATATAGTTAGAAACCTATTAAATCGATATGTTTTTGTTTTTGTGCTGTAAAGTTTTTAATAATGCATTAATGCAGCTCAAATTTCATATTTATTTATTATTTATGTTTATGCATCAACCCTAAAAATTTTAAACAAATCAAACACATGAAGTGTGAACACCGTCCGTTTTAGTATGGAACACCCCATACACACTTCTCAGGTCAAGAAGGCTAAGAGGTATTCAAGGCTAACCTTCTGGCAGCAAAGGATGTCACGAATCCTTAAGTTTTATGTGCGTTGAGGTATGGAATGGCGAAGGAGTAGTGAGATGTCGCTTCTGGTCGATGTATTATTTTCCATGCAGGGCAGCTTCTGCTGACGAAGTGTCATCTTGTTTGGACATTACATCTTCTTAAGCAAAATCCGTTATTTGGATACAATCAAAACTAGTAGTGCGGGGATATAATCCCGCGGCTTGGAGTGTGACAAGATTGGCGAAGACTGGCAAACACTCTCACATCTCACCTAAGGATTCCAAACCAACCAGTCTTTTAGTTTTTTACTTAAAACCCTCTCTTAACGGAACTCCATTGTAGCCCGATGAAGGATTCTGGGCCTATGAAAGCCTTTAAAACCTTTTTCCGCTTTGGAATAGACGTTCTAGTATTCTTGGAAGCTTTGACTTTCTTTTACCTAAATTTTAATTAGCTCTTTCTGTACTCTTATCTCTTCAAGTGAGTGCTGGTCAACAGTTGGTGAAAAGCACTAGCAGGGGTTTACGGGCTTAGAAGTTTGTGAAACGAATCTTGAAATTTAGGCTTCCCAGACCACTGTAATGTTTTCTAAGCACAGGTAACTGCCAACAAGAAATTTTTGGCACACAGTTGTTGTTGTAGCGGCATTACTAAGCTCCGCAGGGGTCGGTTTTTACATCGTTAACGAGCTGCTTCGACAAGAGAAGTCTCCACATGCCGGACACTAATTGGGGATATTGGGGTCCAGTCTAGATAAGTAACTGTTAAGACGGCTACAGTATCCTAACCGTAACTGCGCCAAAGTAGCGCGGGTCTCTCGTGGTAGTCGAAGCTCTGGGCGTGCAATAGGGCGAGATTGGCCGGTCGACCAATTACCTTGTATGTTACCAGCAACGTTTCTTTGTCCTTTTCCCAGGTGAGAACCATTTTACGGCTGTATACTTTATTGCAAATTGCGGTTGTGTGCGCGGAGAAAGTGGGAAGGCTATCAAAGGTAACCGCTAAAATTATCGGGTTCTTCACCGTGTGCGAAGCCTGACCTCCTTCGTCCAGGTGGTGAAAAGGGCCGCCGTTGATTTCGTTGGGGAGAGTGTTGGGCTCATTGCAGTGAAGAAGCGATAAAATGCGGAGCGGTAGCCATTTACTTTTAAGCAGAGGTCATCACGTGCCTTCCCAGACGCTAATATCGAGCAGTCTTCAGCGTATGGGATCAGGGAAAATCTCTTCGGTGGCAGAGGAATCTTCGGTATATAGAACCCTGTGGAACCACTTGCTGAATTCTTCTAGATATTGAAGTTTTATCTCGAAAGGTTACTGACGACTGCCGACCTCTGTTTGAGTCCGGGTGGGAGAGAGGAAGCCTCGATGCCTGCTAGTAGTGAGGAATGACAAACAATGTTAGACGCCTGTGACTGGTCCAACGCTAAGGGAGCCGTTCTCTCACAGGGGTGGTTGCGGTTAAGGTCACGTGTTATTTGAGTATTTATGACGTTAAGTGCTATTATTGCGCTGTGCACTTTATGGAAACCATGCTGATGCTTCTCTGGGGTCAGGTGGTACGTGGAGTGCGGGAGTAGCAGGGCCTCACGTGTCTTCGCTACCGAGGTTCCTTTGTTGGCTGGCTTTCCTGGTTTCAGCAGTGGGACCACTTTCCCCGATTTGCACACTTCGGGAATAATGAGAGTGGTCATTGACAGGTTGAGAACCGTGATGAGATACATATGCCATTCTCTTAACTCAGGTCTTAATACTTTAGATGGCACTATTTAAACAGCCTTGAAGAGTTCCCTGGAGTTGGCATTAGTCGGCTGTGAAATTTATGTGTACATTAGGGAGCCTTTTCAAAAGAACGTTGAGAATTATTCACCGAAATTATTTCTCTTATTATATTTTAAGACTTCCGCGAAAATATTTCGGACAAATATTAAGATTTGCGTAGGACCGATTTGAAAATTCTTAAGAAATCTCATTAGTTTGATGCCGTTAATAAAATTAGTAAATATTTTTATGCAAACCTTTTAACCTAAGCTCTTCTATCATCTGGTGTGAATTTTTTGAAAAAAAATTCATAAGCACTAATTTTATTTATAAAAAAACTCGATTTTTGGAGGTATTTTCAAATGGGTTCAGCTCACTTAAATCTTAATCTTTTTGCGAAATATTTTGGCAAAGGCGTTAATATAACCAGTTTTAGAATCCCGACAGAAAAACAGTACCAATTTTTTATGTAAGGAGAGTGATGCATCCTAATGTACATACATACATTTTTTAAATCGTTCAAAGGAACGAAAACCACTAACATGTGACTGCATAGCAGGGCATACGTATACATAAATGTATGTTAAACAAAATAACTAAAAAGAGCAACGGTGCTAACCAAAACTAACTCCTTTAAAGGACAACTAGTAAAAGACCATCACTGATATGAGCACAGTAAAATGAATCACAAAAAAAGAACGCGCGTAGGGCCATTAACGTTATTTGCACCAGAGCTAAAGGGCCATTACACAGGATCAACAAATGATTTCCAGTTATTGATTTAGAGTTTTAGTGAATGTTTGAATACACACTTTTAAAACAATCAATCACTGAAATCACATTCAACAGATTTTCTCGAAGCTTGGTACAGCTAAACAATTTTGCGTGATTTTAAATCGCTTGTGGGAAAAGGGTGGGATTGGTTGACTGGACATTGGGTTTAAAGAGACGAAAGCAAAACTTAGCTACTCGTACGTCTGTGTACATAAATACATACATACATACATACATACAAGCAACTACGAGTATGTGAAACTGCCAAAGGCAAAACGCTGCGGGGCCTACATTGAGGATAATGGTTGTTTGCTTGAAATGGAATTTCCTTTACAAAAATACCAATTTGTTGTGCAAATGTGGATATGTTTGTCTTTGTAAACAACAAATAAGCTGGGAAATTGTATTTTACATACACTTATTAATCTACATCGGAGATGAGCGATTAAAATTGAGCCCATGCTTAGCTATTCTCAAACATTTTTAGTTTTATTTGCTTTTGTGTATTTTCACAGCCCCACAA